AGCTCAAAGGTCAAGCCCTTACTTCCATTAAGGGTTTAGGGTTTGGGGCTTAGGTTTTAGGGTTTATAGGGTTTTTGGGGTTTGGGGGTTCACCCCCTCCAAACCCTCGAAGGCCTTGTAGACGAGGACCCAGAGTCGGTGCGCACCTAATCCCCTTCAGTTTGCGTTGAGTTTCCTTACAAATGGGCACCCTTCTCATTCCTAGGCTACTCTTGGGCCTAGAAATCCTCCTCCTAAACCCCAAGCTCCTAAACCCCAAACTCCTAAACCCCAAACCCCAAAATCCCAATACCCCAAAACCCCAAAACCCCAAAACCCCCCAAACCCCAAACCCTAACCCCTAAACCCTAAACCCCTAAACCCTAAACCCTAATGTCCAACAGAAGTCTCCAGCTCAGGGCCTGCCAGGCCTGCACAGTCCGCAACCTCCAGGTCGTGGCGGCGCGACGCCCAGGGGGATCCCGAGGTCTTCGGCCTCTTTTGCTCCCATTGTTCATGCAATAGAGGGTTTAGGGTTTAGGGTTTAGGGTTTAGGGTTTAGGGTTTAGGGTTTAGGGTTTAGAATTCGGGTTTAGGGTTTAGGGATTTTTCAATGTCCAGTAGAGGGGTCTGGAGGGGGTTTAAGGCTTAGGAGGGTTGAATCTACTTTCACATGAAGGTGATAGGTCCTCATAAGAATTCAATCCGGCGAGCAACAACAAACATTCAAAACCTGACAGGTCTCCGATAGAGTCGGAAAACAGAGGTTCGGCTAACACAAGGCACTCGTCAGGATTCTCCGAGCTGAAATTCATCTGGATTGTCCGAGCTGGACTAAATTAAGCCTGAAACTTTCTGAGGGCGGGGGTTTCCTTCCCTAAACCCTAAACCCTAAACCCCAAAAAGCCATATAGCCGGGCATCAGTGGGGGGCAGCTCCAGCCTGGACAGCAGCAGTCAGCGATTCGCGGTCATAAGGTCTGCAGGACTAGAACCTGGGGTTTAGGGTTTAGGGTTTAGGGTTTAGGGTTAGGGTTTAGGGTTCAGGGTTTAGGGTTTAGGGTTCAGGGTTTAGGGTTCAGGGTTTAGGGTCAAGGAGTCCTGGCATGAAGCAGTTTCCAGGTTCAAAAGGGTCAAGAACAGGGTCAAGCTTTACTAGTTTTTGTGGCACTCGGGCTCGGTGCAGCTGAATGACCACCGGGAGCCCGAAGGCGACAGACTTAAACCACACACGTTTAGGACAAGCCCCTAACCCCTAAACCCCAAACCCCTAAACCCTCCTCGGCCCTAAACCTTAAATCCTCAGGTGCAGCCTGCAATCGGAGCAGAGGATGGGACCCTGCAGGCGACCTTGGCACGGCCAAGTCTATGTGAACCAAACGAGATCGGATTGAGGGTTCAGGGTTACGGGTCAGGGTTTGGGGCTTAGGGTTTTTGGGTTTTAGGCCTTAGGGTTGAGGGCAACAAGGGTTTAGGGTTTACAAGTTCTTGCGAGTAAATCAAGGAGACCCCTTCCCTGGCTATGCTAACTACAGGTAAGGCCCTCTACCCGAAGCTATGACACTTGTAGCCCAAGTAGGGACCTCAGAGTTCTACTTATAACTGGGGGCGGCCTCCTTGTATTTACAGGTGACGATGCAAGTTACAAGAGATGATTTCCCTAAGCCTCAATCCCTGAACCCTTAAGTGGCTCCAACGAACAAAGGTTGCTTGATAAAGCAACAAAAGGTTGCCTTCAGGATCTTTAGTGAGTTTTTTGGTGGGTACCCTAAACAGTCACGATTCCTCTTTTTGTTCAGGCCAAAGGGGCTTTTGTGTCTTCGAGGCCCAAAAACTGAAAGAAGACCACGTAACTGGATTCTGGCACGAGACCACACCGCAGAGTGCGCCGGGTAGTTTGTAGGGCATAGGTTTTAGGAGAGAGGGTGCAGATGTCGTAGTTTCTCCTTCGGCGACAGAATTTTGATTCACAGTGGTACATTTGCTTTGAGGTCATGAGCTCTCCTTGACATCCCACGCTCAAATCACCATGGGCCATGCAGACACACAGTCTAAACCTGTTGGCTTGGCAGGGACACTCCGCATCTTCTTCGACAGCGTGATCGTTGTAGACAATCCGCATGCCAAGATCAGGACTCTCGGTTCAGGGTTCTCCCGCTGCTGAAAAGGCGTGAACCCTACCTGGACACCCAAAATGTCTGTTAGCCCCCAAACATACAGGGCATCCGAGACCATTATGGTCTACTATTTGCTTAAGAACCCCCAAGAAATAATCAAAATATTAAAATATTCTTCCTTGTAAGGACAACATAGGGATCATCATTTTTTCGGGGGGGGGGGGGGGTTCTTAAGCAAATACTAGTTCTTTTTTATGTGTGTGTTTTTCAAGATGGGTACCTCTGTTTTTTTTTCGGTGTTGTTTCCCCCTTGTCCTCCCATAGCCTGCAGAGGCCATCGGCCGGCGAAAGTTGCCACGCACGAAACCCTGAACGCTGAATGAGAACAGAGCGCCTAAACAGCTTTATCATGCTAACAATAAACAAATGTGTAAACAATCTGTATATATATATAAATACCTTCATGTATTATATGTGTGTGTTGACGTGTTCGTGCCATTCCTTCCATGCATGTGGAACAACGTTTGTCCAAAGAAAACGTCTGGAAAGGATTGTGTTCTGGCCGCGGAGGGACGCCCAGATTAAGTATATAATTAGGGACCACAACGGAGTACTGAGTACTGTTAGCAAATATTCCGCCCTTCATAAACCTATTGCTCTTGCATCACCCATGTCACACTTGAAAAGAAGGATGCCCAAGGACCGCGCAAGAAATGCGCGATGCCCTTCCATCTAAGCCTGGACCGCTTTTATGCGCTTCAATGCCACCTGCAAGAATACTTACCAGGTTTAAAGGCTGCCTTGAAAGATTCAAACAGGGCCAGCTTGAAAATGACTTCCGCACACATGTGCTTGAACCTGTGCTGAAGAATGTGCTTGCTGCAAGAAACTTCTTCATTACTCGATTGAACTTCAGAATCTCACACCTAGACGCTTGGTGACAGAAATTTTGATGCTAAGCTTCAACTGCTACCATCCATCTGCAGCAAGTTATAGACTTGTTCAGGGCTCTGAACTACTACTGAGGATGCAGATGCCCTTTTCGTTACTTAATGAGTTCGACAGGCTGTCGTCCGCATGCCCCAAAACCCTATTCTAATTAGTAAGGCCCCGTAGTTTCATAAGTATCCTACACAAGGTTAGCACCAGCTATGAGTATAGTTGGCCCTACTTCGAACCCACTTCATAGCTACACATGGTAGCCCTAAACCCTAAAACCCTAAACCCTAAACCCCATGAACCTCCAAGCAGCGGTCTCAGTCGCGCTCGCGACAGGATTTATCCGCGAGTTCTTGCGGACCTGTGCGCAGAGGTGGGGCGATGTACAGGTTCAAGGGTCTGCGGTTTAGGGTTTAGGGTTTAGGGTTTGCTGGGGAACAAGTAGGGGCGATGCAGTGGTGAAGAGACCTGCGGCAAAAGGGTTTAGGGTTTAGGGTTTAGGGCTTAGGGCTTAGGGTTTAGGGTTTAGGGTTTAGGGTTTAGGGTTTAGGGTTTGCTGGGGAAGGATTCCCTCAGAGCCTAGGCAAAGCAAAGAACGAACCCTGTGGAGACCGCAGGAAGCCGCAGCCGTAACCTTAAACGTCGTGGCTGGGCACGGCCCACAAATTCGATCTGCCCCGTATATCCGAGGATCTGACTAGGGTGTGGGGTATAGGGGCGCTGCCCCCCCTTCGCAAGAACAAAGCCCCCCCCCCCCCCGCAAACCCTGAAATGAATTGACAGAAGTGGCAGAAGCGAGGGGGAAGGGGGCGGGGGAGGGCTCTTTGGGAGTCCTTTTCTCTCCTCGTTTGGTCTATTTCGGGTTTAGGGTTTGGGGTTAAGTTTATGGATTGGGCTTTGTAAGGACCGAGCACGCGAAGTCAAATAGTGCGGTTTTCTGGGTCTTCTGCAACAGCCTCAAGCAACAAAGCAAGCAGGACTCACTTAAAGAACTAGCAAGCTAACTCCCTCTGCAGTGCCACCTCTGTCTGGGCAGGCAGACAGGGCTCCTTCGTTTGCTGGAGGGCGGGGGGTAGTTCACAGATCAAAGTCCCGCAAACCCTAAACCCTGAAGCCTGAACCCTAAACCCTTAACCCTAAACCCTGGATCCTAAAAACTGAGCCGAGGTCGATCCACGAAGCTTCTATCCGTGGGACACAGGCACTGGTGATGTCCAGGCACCGCCACCCGCAACATAATTTAAGGGCCTTAAGGATAAGTTTTTTTTTTTTTTTTTTTCGGGGGGGGGGGGGGTATTATAGTGTAATTGTACAGGGACAAGAAGGGAATACTATTAGTAATGATTCCGAGCCCCCTATATTCGTAGCCCTTCAGCGCCAGATCAAGCTGATAGTGAATCGTGCAGCCTCCTCGAAAAACGCACAAGATCCCACGGTCTGGAACATGAAAGTTTTGCTGTGTCAGCTGCGCCAAAAAATGACGATGTCGCGTGGAAGGATGGGACCAGTCTGTCACAAAGCGTTGCACCTGTGACTTTCTGCGATGCCACCAGCCTTGAGCATTCTGTGTCAGAAAACTTTGCCCAGCTGTCCACTCGCGGATTCCAGAAATACGTTTTTCCATGAAGCGCATTCAGTACATAATCTTTTTCAAAATCAGCGAAGATATTTTATTTGCAAAATCAAATCGAATTCCAGCCGCGATCAATTGCGGTGAATAAAAACACTTCAGATAGACAGTCCCATGCGTCCATGATACCGTAAATCACCAAAATCGTCATTTCACATTTCACATTATCTTTTTCTGAGACAAATCAGGATGCATCGCCCAGGCTGTTTTTTTAACCTGAAATGTGACATCCCAGATCCGTGTAGCGCCAGGTCAGGTCGAGCGCCTGCTTCAAACTTTCCCAAGTCAAGGGCGGCCACCCTAAACCTTAAACCCTAAGCCCTGAAACCCCAAACCTTAAACCCTAAACCCCAAACCCCAAACCCTAAACCCGGAAAGGCTGCCCTCGGGCCCTGACGCCCTGAGACGCTCAGTGTGGCTCTTCAGGGAAGTAAATGTTTGGGTGAAAGTTTCGTTTTGGGCGCTTTTTTTCCCGGGTTCATCCTCCATTCCTACATGCGCGAAGTTGGTGGTTGACAACTGCTTTTGTGCATGAGTTTCTGCTGTGATGTGCGCTTTCAGGCGTGTCAAGATTAGATGGATGAAATGGCCGAGTCCTGCGTGAATAAGCAGTTGATGCCGCTGCCTGCAGTAAAGTAGCAGGTTGCCACGCAGAGGCACCATGCGACAGAGCCTCGCCCTTGGCATCTATGAATCCATTGCTGGGTGTAGAGGTTTAGGGTTTAGGGGGTTAGGATGCGGGGGATTCTGCAGCAGCATGATATGAGATCAATGCAGAGAAGAATTTTGCATGTTTTTTTAGTTATGAACTGTTCGACCAGGATCGAAAGGCAGAAACAATGGCAAACATGCTAGTAGTAGTAGTAGTAGTAGTAGTAGTAGTAGTAGTAGTAGTAGTAGTAGTAGTAGTAGTAGTAGTAGTAGTAGTAGTAGTAGTAGTAGTAGTAGTAGTAGTAGTAGTAGTAGTAGTAGTAGTAGTTTTTTAGCAGCAAGAAGAGGTGAGTATCGTCATCGTAGACGCCGCCGTCGTCGTCGCCGAAGATGTATGAAGATGTTTTTTTCTTGAGCATTTATTTGTACTTATACAACCTACGAACCCGGCATAGCTCTTATGCGAAAACCAATGTCGACCCCATTAAAACCCTATAAAGCCGACATCGTCCTACATCTAAACTCTGCAGCGCTGCATAGAAACAGACTGGCGAGGCTCGCGCCTGGGATACCGATCACGGCCATCTGCCAGGAGCATGCGATGGCAGATTCCATGGTCAAGGTTGGTCCTAACATGCATAGCGTTTAGGGATGCTTGCAGGGTTTACATCAAAGGGCAGTGAGCTGTTGAGGGCCATAAGAATGGTTGTACGAGGAGGGCCCCGTACTATAATTATAGGTAAGGGGTGTAGAAGCGAAGTTACACCCCAGTTTTAGGCCCCTCCTTGTAGGCCACGATGATGAATACTTTGGGATGCAAGTTACGGTAGTGGGACATGGGCCGTACATGGGGCAAGGGTCTCTTTTGAAGTGCCGTTGTGGGTGTGGCAACGGGTCTGCACCAGCAGGGGGGGGTTTAGTCTTCAGAGCTCGAGCTTAGGGAGCCCTAGGCCCTAAACCCCCTAAACCTTATCCTTGTAGTAGAGTAGGTAACCTTTAACCTTTTGGGGTAATACAATCCCCTTAGAATCCCAAAGGTTAACCTTTACTTGCCCCAGGTTACTGGACAACAAAGTTATCGCACCTGGGCTCAAACCCAAACGCTAAGCCCTAAACGAACCAATGCTAGATGGGTGGCAAACAAAACGAGCCGCTGTGCGGGTGCAAAACCACTAAACCCCCCAATCCCCTTAAACCCCCCGAACCTTTTATGGAAGTGTTGCATGATCCCTTCATATGGGCCCTTACTTGGGGAACCCTTATAAACCCCAAGGGCCTATGCTTCAGAGGGACCAGAGTAAGGGACCATGCTTGTGACACCCTCATACGAAGTGGTAGTCTTGTTCCGCGCCGCCCTCAGAAGTAGTGGTTGGCATAAGGGTGCCTCAAGCGCACTCAGACGGTCCACCTGTGCCCTGCCACTTATTTGCGTACTTATAGAAGTGTTGCATGATCCCTTCATATGGGCCCTTATGGACCCCAACAGGCTATGCTTCAGAGAACCCTTTAAAGAAGGCAAGGGACCATAGTAAGGGATCTTGCAACTCCAAACCCTAAACCTTAAGCCCCTTCATCCCAGCAAGCCAGGTTGGTGACGAGGTGCTTGAGATCACACCCCGACATCCCATGATGCGAAACACAGAAATCGTCGGGCGCCCGGGGGGGTGGGGGGGTGTGGGGTTTAGGTTTTGGTTTGGGGTTTAGGGCTTTAGGCTTACTCAGAGAAGTGACGGATCCAGATAGAGTAGGGTGTTAGAAGGCGTCAGGGTTTGTTTTCTTGAAGGTCGTTTGCAGTGGTGGTCTTCGGCATCAGTCGCGCCTTTAGGGGCACCCGAAACCCTAAACCCTAAACCCTAAACCCTTGATCAGCTGCTTGGGACATTGGATGAGGTCGTGGAGATCGACCCTTGGGCCGTCCGGTCGGCTGATGTGTTGGAAGAGGAGCTCACAGTACTGGGAGGTTCATGGGTAGCTATAAGTAGGGTAAAAAGTAGGGTTATCAGCAGGGTAACGAAGGTTCTAGGTATAGTTTCCCTACTTATAACCCTACTTATAGCTACACATGTACCTTCAAGTCTGGACCCCCTCGCCTCGTAATTGAAAGTGTTGTTCAACCCAGGGGGGGGCTCAATTTAAGGAACGCAAGGCCTTTTTCAAAAGTCAGAATCTCAAACCACATCTTGTCCCAATTAAGGGGAAATTTTGCCCCAAAAGGCATCAAGTCATAAACGCCCGATATTGCAGCCTTGCTTGGAGATTCCTGGGCATCAGATTTCTGGATGGGCATTATCATCACAGCTACGCGATGGTGAGGTTGAGTAAGCTGTCGGAGCTTGCACGAACCTACTAGTTGCTTAAGAACCCCAAAACATGAGAAATATCTTCCTTATTAAGGTTGTACGACACTTAAAGGTTGTAGGGGAGTGTGACATCCAGTATGCATTAAACCCCGAATTGGTGTAGTACGTGGTATAGTGTGATATAGTCGACGCATATTGTTATTGTTGTAAGGGTAACAAAGGGAAAATCATTCTGAGGCTTTTTGTGGGGTTCTTCAGCAACTAGTAGGAACTTGGCCAGGAGCGCTACCCCGCCCGGTGGACGGGCTGGAAGAAGGCTCGCGGACGGGAGCGCGCAGGCCCCAGAAGGTTTGCTACGGAGAGTTTGTTGAACGATGTGTGGGGGGTTTCTCTACATCAGGGTGCCTGTCTGCGGACCATTGCTTGGACATGGTAGTTTTAAGTGGGGTTATAGGTAGGGTATATAACTACAGTTACAGTTGGCTTTCACTGTTTTTAGGGAATTTAGGGTACTTTTTACCACTACCCATGAACTTCCAAGTAGCAGGGAATCCAAGGAATGTATGCGTGAAATTGAATGCGATCCCGACTGTTGCGGTTTAGGGTTTAGGGTTCAAAAAGGGTTTGGACTGGGATCAAAAGGGTGTCGACGCAACTGGCATCGTGCCAGCTGACGTAAAGAGCCTGGGTTAAATAAAGGATTTATTTCGTGCGAGTTCCTGCACTCATCTCGGCCTTAAGTGGGTCCAGTATGCTGGCACATTCGCCAGCCTAGCACAGAAACAGTTGGCAAGCGTCCCGACGAACTAATCCCTAGACCCTAAATCCTACCCCACCATCCCCCCCCAACCCACCCCCCCCCCCCCCCCCCCCAAAAAAAAGAAACAATAACAAATAAATGCAGTAAACGAAAAATGACTAAACCCCTAGACCTCCGCGGTGTGGGCCGATCCAACTTATGAGCGTCACGTTGCACTTAAGGGCATTGTCACTGTCAGCACAAGTAAACTGGTTGATGAAGTCATAGGAGGTGGAGATTAGGCCGCAGTTCTTGGGGCAGAGGGGCTGCCGGAGTGACTGAGCGTGTCCTGGCTAAAAGGCTTGAGAAATCACTAAAGGTATCCTTACGTGGAGGTTCATGGGTTGTGATAAGTGGAGAAGCAGGGTGACTTAATACTAGCTGCTTATGACCTTTTCTCGGGTACTTATAACCCATCTTTTTGCAACCCATGAACCTGCAAGTCATTTGCGTATGACCCCGAGGGAGTTGTGCATGTCCGGCGTCATGGCAAACCCACAGCGCCCCATGTACTCATGTAGTATACACTTGGGCCTTAAAGGGGTTCCTACGCAGCAGCTGTAGGGCCAAAATACATATGTATATATATATATACATATATATATACAAACCCAAACCCTAACCCCCTAAATCCTGAGCAGCCCTAGCCCCCTATACTATATAGGTACATGGAGCCTTTAGGGAGAGCTGAGGAGGAGAGCTTCTGTATACCATTGAAACCCAGCCCCTAATCCCTATACGATATAGGTACATGGACCCTTGGGCCCTTTGGGGAAAGCTGAGGAGAGCTTCATGTATGTATAGATGGAAACCCAAACCCTAAAACCCCTAAACCCTTTACCATACAGGTACATGGACCCTTTAGGGAAAGCTGAGGAGAGCTTCTAGATAATATTGAAACCCAAACCCTAGACCCCTAAACCCTATACGATATAGGTATATGGACCCAAAGCTGAGGAGAGCTTCTGACATTCACAACCGGCTCTCCGCCTTGCACTCAGCGACTGAGTGGCTGCGCCCCTTGGGTTTCGGGTTTCGGCCTTGGGTTCAGGTTTAGGGCTTAGAGCTTAGGGTTTAGGGTGTAGGGTTTAGGGTTTGGGGTTTAGGGTTTAGGGTTAGGGTTTAGGGCATTTTGGCATTGTCTTGGGGCTTAGGTTATGGATGTTTTGTTTAGGGTTTAGGGTTGTGGGGGTGTCAAGGCTTCTTGGTGGCGTTCAATCTGAGCCCATTTTGTCTGAAAAACCCGAAACCTTAAACCCTGAACCTTAAACCCTAAACCGTAAACCCTTGAAACGCATCCCGGAGTTCTCGACCTCTTCAGAGTTGCCTGGAAGCTTCCCGCGGAGTTTGCAACGTATCCTCTGGCAGGAGGCTCATTCCCAAAAGGACCATGTAGCTATACATGAGTTTAGGGTGTAGGGTAGGGTGTAGGGTGAAGGGTGAAAACATGTACCTTCCTCGTGTATGCTTGGGCCTGAAAGTAGAAAGTAGCTTAAGAAGGTCCAAGTATATGCAACTAAAAACTATACAGGTACATGGACCCTTAGACATTTCAAGCCCCTCTGACTTCTGCAAAGCCCTTGGCCCATCGGATGAAGCCCAAACCTGAACTTCCACTACCCTGAACACCCTACTACACCAACCCTAAACCGCATACTGCAAACCCTCTAACCCTCTAACCCTCTAACCCTCTAACCCTCTAACCCTCTAACCCTCTAACCCTCTAACCCTCTAACCCTCTAACCCTCTAACCCTCTAACCCTCTAACCCTCTAACCCTCTAACCCTAAACCCTAAACCCTAAACCCTAAACCCTAAGCTAAACTTAAAGCCCCATGAAGGGGAAGCGAAGGAGGCCCAGGTGGAAGTGGAAGGCCCAAGCCTGCAAATCCCAGGATGCTTTGCTCAGCCTCTGCGGCTCAAACCGAGTAAACCCAG